AAAATATCAGAAGGAAGAGATACTCTTCAGTGGAAACTTGAGAGAGGGAAAACAGTGTAATGCTATTCTGTTGTAGACCTTAGACCAAGGCATCAGTAAATGATCAAATGTGTTGCTGTAGTAAGTATATACTGAGATCTACAAGCCAGAGGGATTTTCCCCTTCAAGAATCACAAACTATGTACAAAGAAATTATAGCAACCTGCCCAAATCTAAACAAAACTTTATAAGCCATATTTTCTGAACAAAAATTCAATAAATATGAAAAATGCAGTCTAAATTGCTCAGTCTAGTCATGTAGGAAGACTGAAGCTGTTTCAGTCAGTGCCTTCCCACTGTTTTTTCTCAGAATCAGTATATCAAATAACCAGAAAGAAAACCAAGCTAAATACCACAATTCGATCTTACAAATTAACAAACACAAGTAAGAATCAAGGATGCTAAGAATCCTCCTTTCCTTCCCTGCGGCTGGTCAGCTGCTGCAGTTTTCACAGCACAGAAGCAACTAGTTGAACAATATTCTTGTAGAAACGGTTTTCTTAACAATCAAACCAAAATTGGAGAAAAGTTCTTACATGCACCTAGCAATTTGGCCCCAGTGAATGAAGTGCTCTTCCACAGACCAGCCCACTGGGGAAAGACCAAATAAGGATCTATTCTAGTGCATCAACACTAACAGGCTGAAAAGAAAATCCTTCCCACACTGCCTGACAGGCAGGGATTTCAGAGATTTACTTTGCAGACTCAGACTGGCTTACACCAAACAGGACTAAGGAATCTGGTGTCAAAGACAACTTGCAAAAACCTCAAAGGCAGGCTTAACTCGGCAATTCCAAATGCACTGATGGGGGGAGTTCTGAGCTGTCCATGTGATGGGTACCTGGTGGAATGCACCATTGAAAGCCATGCTAACTACAGAAGTTGACAAAATAACACGAGATCACTCTAGTAGGGTCCCATGCTACACATAACCTAAGCTGATCACCTATTTGAACCTTCCTTTCAAGTTTCTTTTTAAAAAATCTTTTAGTTTGTCATCTTTTCTTTAAAAAAAAGTAAAAGCCTCTTTTCACAATTATGAAAAAATAAGGAAGCTAAATCATTCTAGATTACCAAATGAAATATATATATACATTTATAAAAATGAAAAAATTTTCATTATGTATATTTTATAATTTCAATTCTCTAAATATGTATGGCAGGAAAAGGTGTTCAGGAATGGCAATCTAGACCATGGATTTTACAATTTTGAATTTAAAAGGTTTTTCTTTTCTTTTAACTTGTGGTGAGACAAACTGAGACATTTTAAAGTTCTCCTATTTGAGCATGTTGCATCTATGTGAATAATTCAGTGTGTTGTTCTGTGCTATTGAACCAGTGACGGGAGGGATGATGAAGGAAGGAAGAAGCTAAAAAATGGAGGGTTTTTAGGTCTAGTGTTCTGTATAATTAACAGCTTTAATAAAACAGCTTAGAAAGCTGCAGGCATTTTTCTGCTTTTAGTGGCATTTATTTATGGGTGTGTATGTGCTATATGTGACGTGTATGCGACCTGTGAAGGACAAGGTCAACATCTGGTGTCTTTCTCTACAAATCTTTACTCAATGAGACCTCGAACTGAACTGGCTAGGCTGACTAGGACTAGCCAGCAAGACCCTGGGGTCCTTCTGTCTACCCTCTCGCACCCAGGAAAAAGCTGGCTACAGCAGCACACACATCAAATCCTAGCTCTAGATAGATCCAGACAAGGCTCCTGGGGCTTATTGGCCAATCAGCCTAAAGTAATAGGTGAATTCCAGGTGAATGAGAGATAGTTTCAAAATGACAAGGTGGACAGCTCCTAAGAAATGACACTGAAAGTTGTTTTCTGTCTTGTATATTCATTTGGGCATACGTAGAACTGTGTGTGTGTGTGCTTGCATGCACACACACACACACACACACACACACATCTAATAACAATTTCACCTAAGATTCTTCAAGAAGAACATTTAGTGAAAAATAAAAATGTATGCGAACATCTAATAAATATATTTATAAGTGATTTTAAAATTGAGAAATGTTTTAAACGTTTGTCCAAGTTAAGAGTTATACTACAGAAAATACTGATACATAAATGAATTTTTTTTGAGGTCTTCTATAGCTTGTTTGTTTGGATTTTGTTTTGTTGAAACAGGGTTTCTTTGGGTAGCCTTGGCTATCCTGGAACACACTCTGTAGACCAGGTTGGCCTTGAACTCACAGAGTTCCTGCTTCTACCTACTGAGTGCTGGGATTAAAAGTGTGTGCCACCACCACCCGGCCCCTTCTATAGTTTTTAAGAATAGAAAATTTTCAAAGTATAAAGACCAAAAGCTCTAAGAGGCAACTGTCTTAAGTGAAGAGATGTATATAGTGTGTCACATGGTCTCTATCAAGGAATGTGGTGGGTGATCAGGAAGCTGGGTTTACAGTTGTGTCCCTCAACACCTATGAAGCACTGGCTGGGTTGTGAGTATATCATGTGTCCTGTATGGGGACTGGTACCGTCTCTCTGCAATTTTGCAGTTGTGTTTCTCCTCTAATCATGATACCTTCCAGCATGGCAACAGGGTATGCTGGCATCACTTAACATTTAACTGTTGCCTGGCATGCAGAAAGTAGATTTTTGTTGCTGTTGTGCTTTTTAAAAAGTACTATTCTTAAAGCTTACATTTTAAATGATTATAAAGTCACAATAGGGAAAAACTGATCACATGGGAGTCCTTTAGGCAGTCTTCTCTGGAGGTGACAGCTCATGTCATTATAGTCCAGACCAAGGAAACTGACACTGGCACAACACTGGTAACAAATCTTACTTAGTTTCTTCTGCCAGCTTGTGTGTGTGTGTGTGTGTGCATGTGTATGTAACCTTCACTGGGAACAGAACAGAACAGAGAAGGTATTTTCATACATCTTCCTCCCAGATACTGTCTTTGTCTCTGAAACCATTTATGTGTTCTCTGTCTCTGTGTTTGTGTCACTTTTAATATGTTACATAATGAAATCACATGAGACACAACCTACAACCTTTCCAAAGTGACTTAGACCTATTCATGTAGTTGTAGCAATGGCTAGTTCCTTTTTTTTTTTTTTAAATCTCTGAGCAGTGTTACACTGGACAGATGCAGCATGGTATTTAATGGTTCACCTTTTGAAGAACATTCCAGTTTTTATTATAATCATGTCACTAATTCACACAGGGAAAATATAGAAAGTCATCAACTAGCAAAGAAGTAGTGCTATGGGTTGACCTGTATTCCCAAGACAATATACTAAACTTCCAGCCTCTGGCATCTAGTACAAATATGTCCGTACTCTGCTCTGCACGCGAGTCGAGCAGAACCACGTATCTGTGCCTCTCTTCTTAGCTTTTTAGACATAACCTTTCCTGCTGCTCCTTCATGTTTCACCTTTGCTGTCCCAGGATGAAGGCAGTTGAACCCCATGTTAACTCTGAAACACACCTGGCTCTTCTCAAACCTTCTGCTCTGACATGCCATTCTCTATGGATTGTGCAGTTTTATCTTGGCATTTACCCTGGGCAAAGCCCCTCACGGCCGAAGCTAGTCTCTCCTGTACTTCCAGATCTGCCACACAGTTCCACTACAGTAAGTGTGATAGGGAAGAACTGGGCACTTGTAGAGACCACTGGGTTAAAAATACCAATCCTGCCACTTACTGTGTGATTAAGGAAGCTATTTAGCCTGAGTTTAGTTTCTATTGCTATAAAATGGAGTTTCATTCAGCTCCAGTCTGCTACTCAGTAGCCATATAACCCTAGGCCAGCTGACTCACATCTGTCAGCTTCAGTGGCAACACTAGACAGCAGCTCCAGGGTTTTAAATCAAGTATTGCTCCCTTTCTTGTTCCTCATTTCTACTTCATACTGAGAAAGATCTACATCTCAGTACCTTACAAAGAACAGCAGCTGAACCCTTTGTCTAAGCTAGTGAGTATCTCAGCTGGAATGGCTCTCTATTGACACCAAAGCAATGAAGATGATCTTTACACCCAAATTTACTCGAGGAAATGGAGGGCAACATCAGAAAGAGCTTAAAAGCAACTAGGTATAGTGGTGCACATCTATAATCCCAGCACTTAGAAGGTTGTGTCAGGAAGGTCCTGAGTTTGAGGCTGGACTACACTTCACAAAGGAAGAAAACAATGAAAGAAGAGCTAGAAGAAAAAAAAATCATGTTCAAATTTAATGTCCCTAGCCCTAACTAAACTAAAGCTGACTAGATAACTCAGCTAAACATGGGCAGGGAGGAGAAATTTCCCACTGTATTTTGCTGTATCCCATACCCTACTCCTGGGAAGACAGTGAACTAGAAGAGGATGCCTATCAAGAAAGGACGGAAGCAGGGCCAATGCAGCTAAAGCAACTGTCAAAGCAGCTAAATGTGCAGGCATGGAAGGCCCACCTTCAAGCAAGGATCTTTAATATTAACCGCTAAATGAAAAATAGAGCTCAGTGATGGGAAAAAGGCAAATCACCACTGATGAAGAAAGCTGAGGTTCAGACGGTTCTGCACAAGGCAGGCAGGATCACACAATACCCTGATTGCCATCTCCTGTGGAGTGACCTTCAGCAAGTACCTGAGCCTGAGTCCTTCCTTCACAGACAGAGAGGATCAGTATACTTACCTTCATGGCTGGAAGAACAAACAGGATACCAGGAATGAAGTGGCCTGCTAAGTGACAGCTCATGGCAAGTGCTCAGACACGGGTCTACCCTCACTACCTTTCATGCTACTCTCATCCAAATAAATTCATTTCCTTGTGTCCATATCTGGAAACTTGCAAGTTTATTTTTAAGCAGACTCTGAGGCCCAAGACCTGGGGAGAACTCTGAGCTACAAGAGTGTGAAAATCTGGTTCTCTGGCTAATGTCTAGAGAGACTGATATGCCCAAGAGTGCAGATTTGATGGCTAGGAGACCACTGGGAACTAGAGTGGGCAAGAAGAGAAAGGATTACTTGAGCTTTGGCTCCCGTCCTTCGCTCGTATACTGCCAACAGATGAGCCCGATGAGGTCTTGCACCCTAGCGCTGGCCATTGTCACCACGGTCATTGGTAGCAGTCTGTCCTGGCTTGAATGCAGGGGGAGGTAGACGTCAATCTTCTTAGTTGCAGTTGTACCCACATGACCCTGTGGAGGGAGCACATGCATGAGAGAGTAAAGCACACAGCTGTGGTCTTGCAGGCACTGTGGGTCCTAGCACAACTCTGCTGGTCTGGGTCAGCACAGCCATTTCCTACCCTTTCTGCATAGTCCTACTCTAGGGTGGACAAAGTCTATATGCAGGAAGGTGAATATACTCTCCTAGAGGAACAAGTATTAGTGTGAGCAGAACTGGTACTTGAACAGACTGGTTTGTTATCAAGTCTCTGCCCCTGGAGAAGACACTAACAGAGCCTGGCATTGGTTCCCTGGTAATAGTCATGTCTCTCCTGAAGAGGCTGAAGAGGAGGCACTCACACTGGGACAAGAGCCTGTCTATGTGCCTGAGACATAGGATACTAACACCATTGGGCAGTGCACCTGCTTACTTAAGTGCCACATCAGTTCAAGGGTCCTTGATCTTTACTTACTGCTCAACCCACATGACTCTATGCACTCCCGATTCTTTCCACATACTCAGCCCTCCTCTCTCTGCATGCTCCTTTTGGCTCTCTAGGGCACTCGCACTAGTCAGCAACAAATCAAAGCTGCCTTTTAAAACATTCTTTTACTTCTATGACTCAAGCAAAAACTCTGTCTGGGGAGGGCATGCCTCCTCTGCCATTCTCTTAGAACAGGACTGCTTTGCTTCTATCCCTGTGTTTCCCCTCTCCCTAATTCTCTCTGTACCTCCCAAGTTGCCCTACTGCCCACAGTGGCGTCAAACTCATGATCCATACGCTTTGGCTGCAGTTACAAGCACATCCCACCATGTCTTCAGTCTTCTTTTCCATGATCCCCAAATACTCAAGCTCAGGTGGCCATGTAGGTAGTGCTTTCCCCACTAACACTTCCAAACTATTATTTCCTCTTTTCTTGCAAAAAAAAAAAAAATTGTTCCATTTACTTCCAACCCACACAACTATAGCTTCCTCTCCAGCTCTGTGCTACACGGCCTAGAGTCATCCCCTTTCCTCAACAGAGACTAGAGCTCCGTCTTCTTGGCTCACAATCATACTGACTGACAAACATGTCACAAGGAGAAAAGAGCACAGACAATTTAAGTTTATATTGGTGCACTTCACTGGCCCCAATTGTCCCCTACCCCAGGTTACAACAGCAGCCTCCTCATTGCAGCAAGTGGTCTCAGCTTCAAACAGCTACTTCTTTCTTTCTACTGTCTTCCTAGGAAGCTCTAGGACAACTACTGCAAAACTGAGCTTCAGTGGAGAAGAATGGTCTGTTTAGCAAACAGCAGTGAGATGACCAAAGAGAAACATGCAAAAGGATGATTTGCAATCCTACCTCATGGCATATATAAAGATCCAAACGTAAGAGGTAAAAATATAAAACTTATAGGAGAATAAGTGTTCTTGACTTTGAATCAGTCACTAATTTCTTTAAATGACACAAAGTATAAGCAACAAAAAACAACAAAAATCAATCAGTTTATCAAAAATCTTAAAATGTGTTCCCCCAAGAATATTGTCAAGAACATAAAAAGGTGAACCACAGAAGGGGAAGGAAGAACTGCAATCCATTTATTTGGCAAGGGCCTACCATCTCAAACAGGCTGAGGACTCCCACAAGGCAATATAAAAGATAATCCAATTAAGATACTGGCAAAGGATTTGAGCAGACATTTCACTGGAGAAAATATACAAGTGGTCAATAAATACATGAAAGGACACTCCATGTCATCTGTCATAATGCAAGTCACAGCCACAGAGAAGTCGTTAAATAGCCATGGTGTGCACAAACACACGTACACACACTTCCCTGAGTGCATGCACACCAGTAGAGTGCTCCTTTCTATAAGTACATTCTGGTTTTGATGTGCAGTATGAGGGAGGGACTTGACACTAAAAGCCAACCACATTACAACCTTCTTTGAATTTTTCTAGTGAGTGAATGACAATGAATAAAGTCCAAACTCTCACAGTACTGTCTGATAGATCTGGTACCCACACACCTCTCCATCATCACCCAATGCCACCACCCTTGCCTGCCCATCATGGTTTAGCTACCTTGGTCTGAACATGCTCCTGGGATGTGTATCTGAACACACATCTCATTCCTACAGGCAAGTCTACCCTCTGTTGCTGAGCAGACTCTGAAGTCGACTGAAAACAAGCAGCTCCCCAGGAATCCTCCAGGCTCAAGCAGCAGACTGGCACTGCCGAGACACCAGTCTCGTGGACCAAACAAATTCTGGATTCTTGGCTTTCCCATCAGGAAAAAGCCACAGTTGAACTATCCTAAACACAGCCTATAAACCACTCAAATAAATCCCCCGACATAGGCAGACAGACAGACAGACAGACACACACACACACACACCGCCTTCCTTATTAGATCCAGTCTATTGCTTTTACTGCTCTTCTTTACTCACTGAGTCGTCTTGCCAGTCTACCTTTTATCCTCACGTATCCCTTATCTTTCTGCAGAACTACAGCTGAGGGGTCGCTGGGCTGACTTCTCAAGATGTGAAAACCCACTGGGGATGACGACATGAATCTGCTTCATAAACTGCAGCGTGCTTCCTATGTGCAGAGCAGCTTGCTAGATGCTTTCAATTTCAGATCCATTTTGATTTCACAATCACACGGGGTACAAAGTGATAGCAACAAGCTCTAGAAAGAATACTGACTATTCTAGTAAAATCAGGTTTATTGCTCTGGCTCTATTTCATTTAATTTTTAACCTAATTCTAAGAGAAGGGTCTACCAATACTCTTATATTCCAGCAGAGAAAACTAAGGCTTCTGAGGATACAGTGTCCTGCTCAATGTACCAGAGCCACTGGAAGAACCACAGTTCAACCTGAGCCATCGTAACTCCAAAGTCACTATTCTGAATATCAACTCCTTTCGCCCCTTAGTCAGTCAGTCCAAGTGCCACTAACCCCCATTCTCAGCAGCTCACCTTTTCTTTCCCTTTGTCCTCATAAACACAATAGCTCCACCTGAGCAGCCTCCCAAAGAAGGGTCTAGATCTGCAGGGCTACTCTAGGACAGACAGGGACTGAGACCCCACCCCTACCCTCTCTGCTCCAAACTGGAGGACAGTTATTAGGTTAGCTGTTAACCCTGTTTATTTCATATGAAATAACAATAAACACAGAGATGCCTAGCAAATGAATGAAGTGTTTCATCATTTTAATCTTCTAATTCCACCCTTGTACAAATCTTGAAATTATCTTATTTTAATGAGAAAGCTCTTTCGAAAAAGCTCCAGGTGGGGCAGTGAGCTCAACTAAGAGTCCCTGTGTGGCAAGATTTAGAGAAAATCATCTAAAACATAAAACAATCTATCAACATAATAGAAAGTAATTAACTTATAAAAAATAAGGTGACCAAAGGATTAAAAGTATTCATCACACATCAAGAAAGCAATATTCCAGAGGCCTAACATCCAACTATTAAAAAGCAACTAGCAATAAACAAAGATCATGTCACACAACAATTTATGCACTCCCCAATACAGGACTGGGGAGATGAAGCCATAATTAGAGCACAAGAGAGGGCTTCATGGGAAAAGGTTCAGCTGTACCTCTCCTCTCTCGGGCATTCAACAAACAGCCACTGTAACACATGCTGGGACCTGAATATCAAGTCTATTAAACAAAGTGCTGAGCAGCCCTTCAGCAATCTCCTGGCTGCACAGTCAGGAGCACTCTAAGAAGGAAAAGGTAGGCTGACAAGAGAGCCCAGAAGCAGTCACCCTTGGGACGGGTTGGTAGAGGCATCCTAGGAAACAGCCATGCTCCCTCAGAGTCCAGAGAGAAGCCACTGTCATGTTTACAGTCAGCACAACAGGGGTGGGGCAGAGGTTCCAAGACATGGTGATTCTATGAGTGATTTTAAGTTTTTGCTTTGTATATTCTATAATGATTAAATAATAATAAGAGTAAAATTGGAAAAAAATACCATATTAACAAACAACAACAACAAAGGAGATAAAGACAGCAAGAGTAACTACCATGCAAGGCTTAAGGGCATAAGGTAAGAGAACAAAGTTCCATGTTGGAAATGCAGCCCATGATAAGGCATTAAGTAAATATTTACTAGGAACATACTATGTGGGCTAGGACTATAACACTACTGTAGCACTTCTACCTACTGGCATAGGCAAGGCCCAGAGTTAAATAATTTTTATTAAAGAAAGATAAAAATAGATGAATCCAGCTGGTGAGATACTTCAGCCAACCCGATGATCTGGGACCCACCCAGTAAAAGAATGGAATGGACTCCCTGAAATTGTCCTGAGGGCACACTGGCCCAAGCAAATGCACATAAGTAATTTCTCAATATGTAACTTAATCTTGGTTTCTTGTTTTTTTAAATAATGACTAATAGCCAACAAATGTGAAGCTGATCCAAGCTCTCCAGAACAGCCCTAAGCAGGGGAAAGAAGGCAGAGCCTCAGGTACAGATCTGAGGCAACAGAAGAGTACTTCCTCAACACAAGGGCAACCCCACACAGGGCAAGAGAAGTCCAGACCTCAGGCCTCCCAACTGAAGGCTCTGAAAATGTTTCTGGGACTTGTCATTCAGACAGGGTTCTCCGCCATGAGCTCTTCTGTCGTCTGCACACTCACAAGGCTTTTTGTATCTAGTGGGTGACTGGCTCACACAGACTAGGAACTGCTGCAACTCTTTCTTGCCCTATCTTCTACACCACTGACCCCAAAATGTTTCTCAAATCTTGCTCTTCTGTGCTCACGGCACTGGCCCAGATGAAAGCTGCACCATCTCTTGGCCACACCAGAACAGCAGCATTCCAAATGTCTTACCTCAGAAGCCCACCTTCCACAGCCCTACCTCCTTTCTGCCAACAATGAGAACTCTTTTCTCAAACCACAGCTCACTCCAGTCAGAAACACACTATAGCTCTCCACTGACTCGGTACAGCTAATAGCCTGGTCAACCAGACCCAGTGCCTCACTGCTACAACACACAGCAACAGTTCAGAGTAGAGTAGAGTTGG